AGCGCCACCCCTCTCACTTGCTTCCCGTTCCAAGCTAGTGATGACAGCTGGTAATACTTTCACGATAGTCTGGCATGGCATCACCGAGTATCAAGAGGCTTTTTGAGCTTCAACTCTGGCGTTTTAATAGCTGCACAGTTTCCTTCAAGCCATTCATACAGCACGATTTTCATAGAAGTAAAATAGCAGTGTAAGAGTGGGTTCGAATGTGTTTGAGATGTATGATACAGCATCCCCAGATTGACTAGCAGCTAGAGCAATGTGCAATGCCTTGAACACATAGGCTGGCATTGCTTGAGTCGTGCTCTTACCCAAGTGTGCCTTCCTATCATGACCGTAGCACCGTCACAATGCTTCTTTTAAAAGCTGGGGCGCGCTAAACATAACGCTCTAAATCAGTAGATGAAACTTAGTACACTGATTCACCATGATAAAGAGAAACAGAAATTACAAGGTTGTAAACAACAACAAACAGCCTCGGGCAAAAAAGACTTTTAAGTCCTGTCAGTGCCTATAACTTGCTTATGATGGGTCCCTTCACAATGAAACTTGGTGCACTGATGTAATGTGAAAGACGACAAAACGTCTGAGGTGATAGCTTAAAGCCACTAATATTACTTTTTTTGTGGGCTTAGGCCCAGAATTTCATTGCACACCATGCATATGAATGCAGTAAAAAAGGAATGGAGACAAGTACGTAAATAAAAAAGTGAATTAGAAAAGTGTGGAATATATATAGGGATGCCACAAAAAGCAAGGAGACAAGACAGGGATGACCAAGTGAACGTGATGCAGTAGTACAATTATTAATGAGGTCTACATACTTTGAACTGAGATCGCTTGCTGGTGTAAAATTCCTCCACAGAAGCCCTATATTGTCGCGAAGTACGAGTGTGCTCCCTTGTATGATGCACAGGTATGATTTATTTCATAGACAGGTACCATCTACTCGGTTTCAGTTGTGACTGCATTGTGTGAAGTCTAAGACTTGTACATTTGTTCAACTAACCAGTTTGATAATGCTGCGTTGGCCATCTACATACAGAATCCTTTCACCATTGTACTCCCACTTCACTAAACAAACAGTAAAGGTGGCGACAATATAGGGCTTGTGTGGAGCAAATTTTATACGAGCAAGCGATCTCAGTTCAAAGTATGTAGCCATCATCCATTGTACTACTGCATCACGTTCACTAGCTCATTCCTGTCTTGTCTCCTTGCCTTTTATGGCATCCCTATATTCCACACTTTTATAAATTTGTTATTTACTTGTAGTGAAAGGTGTATCCTTCGTGGTCGAAGAGCAGCTGCCATAGCAGGAGGGTTAGAGCAGGGTCGGGCCTTAGAGGACAAAATGTTTGGGAAAGGTCATTGGCGAGCATATTTTGCCTGCAGGGGAGGTGTGCAGCTACTACCTCGAAATCAAACCACACATCCAGCAGCACATCAGAACTTGGCAATGTACAGGCAATGACAAGGTGAACGGCCACCTGGTTGTTGCAGAGCCACTGCAATCTGGAACCTTCCCAGGCCCGGGCACAAATTGAAAAGTCACCAAAATTTCTTCTATTCCCCCCACATATTCTCTGTATTTTTTCCAATAGTAGTGAACTCATCATCAGAACAAAATGTCACTGTTTATAATTCATCATTACTGGGAATTCAAAATAATCTTCCATGGCAGATTTTCTTGCTTAGTGTTATTTTATATTGAGAATACATGGTCTGCGACAGATTGCGGTTGCAAAAGCAATACTAGCTTGCATACTTCAACCCATTTAGCAAGGAGTTGTGTCGTTTTCAACCAATCAAGGGGTTTTACACTATCTACAACACCTTATGCTGCCACAATACAGTCTGCCAACTCTGTCTTTAATTCCGCAAGAAGGGTTGAGTCAAAAAAGGGAAACATCTGAGTGAATCAGTATCTGAAATTATGGCCTAAGCTCATCGATTTTATATGGGAGATTCAAAGCTTCTGCTGCATTATTTGGGTCTGTGTCAAAAAACTTCTCCCTGAAGTAGCTGTAGGCCGGGGGTATCATGTGTTGGCGTCATTAAAGGTTTTCTACGAAGCACTTCCTTGCGCAAGGTCATCAGTAACAGCAAGCACATTTAGGTGATGTGCCAAAGTAGTATGAGCATATATACTACTAAGTTTCTAATAAGCATAGAGCACTAATGATCCATCCCCTCCAAATCAAAGATCTAAAGCCCAGTTAAACTTAGACGTTTAAGGGCGCAACGGCGCAGTGCGTCCTGATAGAATCAAGATTTGTGCAGCCGCTTCAAACACGCAGCTGGCTAGCTAGTCACGATCACTAGAAATCTTACTCAAATTGAAATTTTAAGTTGTCTATATATTCGAATGCTCAATCTTACCAATTTCCCCCCAAACATTTTTCCCAGCGCCTAGTGCCTGCCTTATACTACTGCAGCAACCAGCCCCACAAAGAGCTCTTTTATGAAATGAGGCAGACCTGACCTTAGACCATTGACCCATACCATGCTCACCCCCCCCAGTATCTGAGCAAAATGCTGGCTGGTGAGGGTAGGGGAACATTGCTACGCCGATGCAGTGCCCTTCAAGTGTTGCCACTGCTGTAGGTCTGCCCAGAACTCATGACTGAGTCTGTTGTGGTGCAAAGCAAGTAGTGATCCGCAGAGTGTCGACCAAAGACTCCAATTCACACTGCAAATACAATCTACTCAACAACCACAAGGCCAGAATGTCCTTGAGACGCGATAGCTTATTCGCCGGGAGACACAGGTATCCAGCTCAATGTTGAGGAAGATCAGGCAGTGCGAGGGGCCCTTAGTCACCATCTCTCTATCCTGTCTAGTTTTTGCTGGCATTCTTGCTGATGATCGTCGAGACTGCCGAAACTCCGCTATCAAGCATAACCCAGTGCAAGGGATCCGTTGAAGGACAGGAATGAAACTGAACAGAGGCCAAAATAAAGGACTTTATCCAGATAGTGCATGCCCTTCCACTCCAACCCCGGTCCTGTGGAAATAACTGATAGCTAATTTGCTTCACTAAGAGTGCACAGCTAGGCCCATTCGCACCCTCTGAGTGAAATACATTGGTAATCATGCCTGGAGTGTAGCCCTTCTAGATCACCTCCATTCAGTTTAAGTACAGCCCTGGGATCCGACGTGGGAGGAAAGGGCCCAACATTCTCCTCTCCTTTGATGGATTGTTGCTGATCACGCTTGGGTGCAGCTATGCTGATTGCATATTGCATGCATATGCATATGCATATTGCTGGGCGCAGGGGATTGGTACTGCGAATGCCATAGTGTAGAACATGTTGCACCAGCACCCTATCTGGGTTACCTGCCAACCATAGGTATCAGCGTGGCAGACAGTGTAAGTGGGGGCATATGTATGTTCTAGATTGGTCTTTAGGGTCGCAGGTGGGTCGCATGGCCAGTAGATCGTTTGGATGCCGTATAGCGGGAAATTTCGCACAGCGAAAATTTAACCACTAAAATGTTTGTGCGTACTACAAATGCACAATGCGCGCAGGCAGGGGGTGGATCTAGCCGCATGTCACCTGGCATGTCACCATGCACCCCGGAAAATAGCTCTATACCGTTACCTCCAGCCTGCAGCAGACTCCTTTCCAGACCCCAAAGAAAATAACCTCCTCCACTATAGTAGCAGCGCCGTCAGGAGCGTCACAACGAAGCAGCCAGCAAAGAGGGGAAAGTTTACGCCACAACAACAAGCAAAGGTAGCACAGTACGCATCGATGCATGGAATCGCGGCTGCAAAGCGTCGTTTCTCGAAGGGGTTACACGCTGACCTGATGGAGAGTACAATACGTACCTGAAAGACAAAGTACTTGGCGGAAATAAGTCACAAAAAGCGATCGGGCGAAGTTGACATGGACATGATGCGGGGCCAGATAAAATTGTTGCGGTTCGTAAGCACGAAAATAAAACCCCCCAGTGGCGATTTCAAAAAAACAAGTAGGCACGTTATATCACGACATCCATAGTTTACCAGCCCAAAATGCATAACGTATAGCGGGATATTTTCACTGGTGCAAAATTTCGCGAAATCGCCTCTAAAATGCAGCCAATACTGTACTTTTGCAACTCCAAACTACTCAAGTTAGCTACTAGCGTACAACTAGACCGGAAGATTGCTAACAATCTGAAACTATGCCAGATGCTAGCGGGGACATTTTGCGGCTTTTGGGGTTGCTGGCTGGTGGAGGCAGGTTGCTCCAAAGTAGAGGGTGGGGTCGATGAACCAGTTTAGGGAGCGATGGCTGGCAGCTTCGTGGCCAATGTATGTCGTATCAAGCCAAGACAGAATTCTTGAAGGTGCGACTAGAGTTCGTGAGAGTCCGCAGATATGTAAAATAGTGGGGGGGGGCTTTCTCTGGGTAAGCCGAGATGAGGATAGTTGCCATTGTGGCAAAGAACTCAGTCCAAATACAAAACTCCAGTGCAACTGCTTGGTATGGCAGCATGAGCCCCGGCCTGTACCTTGTAGGACTTGGGGACTCCCTGCAATTTGTGACACCAGGCGCACTCAAGTGCTCCTGGTGTCACAGATTGCTACCCCTGTGTAAACAACAGCATACATAATTATTATAGTTCACAATGAAATTGCATAAACTGGGCCGAAAAGTGTAACCGAAAGGAACACACTAATCCTTTCATGTCTTCCTTACATGTCTAATGCAGCAAAGTAACCCTATTTCTCGGTGGTCGGAGTAAGACCTGGGCCTTTGCTTATGTGCAACTTGCAAGTTCATCACAAAAACTCGAACTCTCAAACTTAGGCTGCAGGTCTCAAGGCCTTGCCAGAATACAAAACTGCAAAGCTATGCCAGAAAATTTCATGTTGCAAACAGTGCCAAAACTAATGGGCAAACCCTTAGCATAGAACCATTTTACTGCAGCGATATGCGATATTGCAACAGCGCTTTACCTAGTACATGTGCTCCTAGTGTGAAAGAGATTACTTTTTTCTTTTACAGAATATAAAGCTTTTGGATAATATCAAAGGTCGGCTTTTGATGTATACAGATATATTCAATAAAGGCATGTGGAAAACAACATTCCTGTTATGGATTTTGTGGTTAGTACAAACATTTCTGCATTTAAAAAGCATTGTGTCGGTACATATTACAATTTCTTGAAGTTCGCGAGCAAAGCGAGCCTATAATGATTATATGAATAGAAAAAAGATTTCCAGTTAAAAACAACTGCTTTACACGCAACTAATATTGTACATTATAAGGGTATCACACACAATTTTGGATCATGTATAAAGCCAGCACAGACTTTCTTTGCAAGGAGACGGAGATGACCTAGTGCATGTGATGGAGTAGTACAATAGATGATGGCTATATACCTCAAACTGACATCGCTTCCACACAAGCCTTTTATTGTCACTAAGCATGAGTGTGCGCCCTCGTAACTCATTTCCTAAGCACATGAGACAGGTAATGCACGGGTACTGTCTGACAACTCCTCCGTTGTAAGTTGTGACTGCATTGTGTGCTCTACAGACTTCCAGTAGTTACAAATTAAGTAATCCTGTGAATTAAAAATTCAGGGATGGTGTAAAAAGGAACACAAAATAGTGATGGGTCCACGAGGCATGGATTACGAACAGATGTGAGCATGCTGACACCCCCGACCCCAGCATGGTGTGCCCCTCCTCTATAACGGCTACTTTGTAGGATGATACATTTCTACTCTAGTAAATACAACATGGTATTGACCTGTATTTTCAAGCAATAGGTCCTGCTGAAACACATAACGGTGAATGTGTGAATGTTTGATACTTCAGCTAGGCAACAATATGTGATGGGGTACTGGGTGTCAGAATTCCTACAGCTGTTCGTAAACCATGCTTAATGTATCGTGCCATCTCTACCTTGTCTCTCTTTCCATCCTTTTTACGTATCTCCTCTCATTTTGCCTGCTTTGTTAAAATTATTTTGAGAGACAATGTAATAGATACGTAATAATGCATACTACTAGAGGAATGCAGCATTTTTCACGTTTCATGATAAAATTTCGGTGTGTGTTGCAATGTCCAGGAAAATGTCACATTCAGACAACTAAGAGGGCTCGCTTTGCTCGCCAATTTATCTTCATGCAGAGTAACATTAGCACAGTATGATAATTAATGTTTGGAGATGATGCGATACACATGTCTACTAAATTTCATTTCCCTTGTGTGCTGCTATTAGCATACATTAAGGAGTGGAATAAACGTTCCTGAGCCTTGTTTTTGTTGTTTACAGACATGTGGTTGTCATGGAAATGATGTGTGTATTGTAATAGCGCAGTTTCAACAAAACCATATAAGATATGGAGACGAAACTACACAGACATTGGAAGCCATGAAACGTGCAAGAGCTCGATAAAGAATAGCCTCAGGCCATATAATATTATGCTGTAGACCAATTTAGTAGTTAATACCAATACCCACAATTGTACCTTTGTACACATGTGCAAACCAATATTAGTATAAAAATGTAAACATTACAAGTTTGTAAACAACAACAAACAGTCTCAGGCAATGAAACTGGTTTTTGTGCCTGTAACTTGCTTATGATGGAGTCCTCTAACAGCAAAACTGCTGTACCATGGTAAAAAACAAATTAGAAGTTTGTAATCAACAACAAAGGGATGATCTAGTGAATATGATGCGGCAGTACAATGGATAATGGCTTCATACTCAAACGCACATTGCTTGATCCCCTGTAATATTTAGCCCTATAATATTGTAGCCACTCTTACTCATAACGTGAGTTTTTAGTGAATGATGTAAAGTATTAGGACTTTAAATAGATTCTGTAGAGGGCTAAGAATGCAGCATTGTAGATCTGCAAATATGGATTTCATTGGACTATGCAGTCACAACTCAATATCCAAGAGAGGGCAACACCTGTGGACTACCTGTCTCATTTGCTTAGAAAACGTGTCATGGCTACACTTATGCTTCACGACAATATTGGGCTTGTGTGGAGGAAAAATTAGCAATGTGAGTTTGGGTATGAACCATTGTACTTCTACATTACATACACTAGCATACCTGCCAACCGTCCCGATCTGGTCGGGACAGTCCGATATTACTGCCTTAACCCGACCTCCCGCCCGCTGGCGCTGGAATCCCTCGATTGTCCCAATATAAGTGAGCATTCCATCTGCCACACCCATGTAGTGTACGACGCATGCACGCACACAACGTAGAGGCGCTCCTCTGGACCTAGCGGAGGGCTGCTCGCACGTAGCCGACCGACACCGATCACTCGGGAATTTGAAGGGGCTTTTGAAGTGCTGCTGCAAGCAAACAACTAAAAGTTCACTCCAATCATAAGAGTATTGTGTTTGTATATTTTGTATTGTTGTACAGTTCATAGAAATATAACAATTGAACCCGCCCGGTCGTTTGGATGTATTTCAACCTTGTCCCTATCTTGCACGGCCAAAGGTTGGCAGGTATGCACTAGTCTTGTCTGCTTGCCTTTATACTATATTCACCATTTCCTTGATTTGAACATTTTTTAGTTGGTCGTGACCACATGAATAATGTTGGCACAGATGCAAAACCCTCAGGCCACAATCTTAGATGGCATTTGGGCCCAGGCAAAAACTAATACATCAAAAATCCGTTATGTGCCACTCCATGTCACTAATTTTACTCTAGGATTGGATGTGGCTGGATTTATTATGGTGTTGTTCTTTTGACAACATCTATCTTTCATGGAACTAACCATTGCTTTACTGGTGAGTATACGTATGTTTAAAACTCACCGAGTAGCTAAAAACTCTAATAGGCAAGGAGTACCAGCAATCTGGAAGACTCCGTAGTCGTGAGAGCAAACCTGGATTTCCACGCTGTTTTAGTAGGTAGTAACAACGAAGGTGGTCTATCTCGCATCTAGAGAGTAGTCATGTGTAGCCACACCCCTGATATACTGACATATAAACAGAGTGACGTCTGGCCTGCTAAGCCTTAGCAACCTGTAACTGCTATCAAGATTCTGTACAATCCAATCAGATTGGTGGAATGTGCAGTATGGTTAAGAACATATTCACAACAACAGCAAACACAATTGCTTGATCCACTGTCAGTTAGCTTCGTTGGCCACTTAATCTCCTCATCATCCTAGTTAAGTAGCTCTTTTCAAATCTAATGTTCGCATGTGTTTTTTATTATGCCATTTTACATTCCCATGATGCTTAGCAGAACAGACCTTCTGTACTTTTGAGAGGTGATAGATAGCAAGACTATCTAGACAATGTTATTACATTTATTTCAGAACTTCAGAATACAAGCAATGAATCCAACTGTGAAGAACTTAGCAATGGCACTTACATAAAAATATTTTGGACTTCAGTTGCTGAACTTCCTGGTAAGCTTTGATTCGATACGTGTATCATGCACTGTATTTAACATTGTGTGAAGCATAAAGTTTTAAAATGTGTAGATGTGGCTTATAAACTGAAGCTACTTCTGAAGTATGCCTTTTTGATTAGCTGAACAGGAATATTAAAGGTGCTACCTGTTATGCGAATGCATGGCGAGGGTTAGTGATGATAATGTAGCATTAATCACATATAGTGCATGCATTTTAGCTCTTATTTTTCCAGGGCTAGTGGTAACCATCATCATTATTGAAATACTCGGAAGAAAGAAGACTATGGCTTTAGAGTCTTTTGGCACAATGGCTGGATTTCTTCTTCTCTTTGTGTGCTCAACTTCGTAAGAGTGTACCTAGAACCACTAATCTATACTTCTGCAAGTTCGAATTGATGACATACGCAATATTGCTCTACAATTACTCAACAAATACCACCAAATATGAATAGCACTAAAGTGCAAACCCTCGGCGAACTGCGCATGCGCGGTACCACTTATTGATGGGCTGGGCTATTGCTATGCATTTACTGGTGGTCTCCCGCGCGCTAGTAGCTCGCGGAGAGTCTTACACGAGCTAGCTACTGTACAGTGGTAGATAGCATGCGGGAGTCAATACACGCCCTTAGTTGTGACTTCTTGTGCCTTTAAGATACACAGAACAAGCAGCCCGGTCGAGGTAAGCCTGTGCTAATTAGCTTATTGGCTTGTTCACTTGGTTTTCACGCCATAACTTTCAAATGCGGCACTTCTACGAATATCGCCATTTTAAAAATAAAACCAGTGTAGCGCTTCTTCTTGGCCACTTCGTTATGCGTGGTAGCATAAAACGTGGTAACAGACGGACAGACAGACGAAGTAAGGTAAATTGGGGTAACTCCAGACATGGGGCGTAACACCAGCCTCAAAATTATTCGCTGCGCAAAAATGCAAGGAAGATTTGTTAGCGCTTTGGTAGATAGTGAAATATGCTAATCTTTCTCTTGTTTCTGAATAGCAAGGTATGTCCGTGTATTACCCAGTGTCGGAATTTACCCCCATTTACCTTACTACTAGGCAAACTTACTACGAGTGATGGAAGTTACATTTCCCTTGTAGGCAAGCAAGTACGTATAGCGAGAATTGATCAATGATTCCTTACTTTGTGCTGATGCACTTAGAGTTTAGGACCACAATTATTTAGCCGCATGTTCTAAAGCACGACTGTGCACTATTTTCAACTCCGCTTCACAAGAATTTGATCTAGTAGTGCTTTCAGTTTTTTTCAAGATCGAGCATCTTGCAGCTTTTCTCCACGCTACTTTATTTGCTTGGCACTGCTAGTCTCCTCAGTGTTACTCTGCATGGTGTACTTAGACCCCCATAATTTTCAATACTGTGCATTTTGTGGGCATGATTTAAATTACTCCACCTCTATGCATGTATGCCCTGCTTATACCCCGGCATTTATTGCCAATGGTGGCTCTGCCACACAAGACAATGCGCATGGCCATAAAGCAGTTCAATTTTAACTTCGTCACATTTATGTTTAAAGATGGTGGTTTTTAATTATGTTATTTAGGGAAGTCACAACTCTGTTTCTATTTCTGACAAGAGCATTTGCAACTGGAGTTTTTCAAACTGTTTATGTGTACACACCAGAAGTATATCCTACCAGTATCCGTGCTAGTGCTCTAGGACTACACACAACAGCTTCAAGAATTGGTGCTCTCTTAACACCATTCAATGCACAGGTAAATATTTGCGTCATTTTACGTATTATACTGCTGCTGTTGATTTTCTTACGTACTTAGTGTCTTACAACAGTTGGACATCTGATTTACCTTCGTATATAATAGGTGGTGTTCCATTCCAGTGACATTGCCGCAGTTTCCTTTTATGCTGGTTCATGCTTATTATTAGTGATTTCATCACTTCTTTTGCCAATTGAAACTAAAGGGAAATCTATGAAGGTTTGTTATAATGAAGATGCAATGGCGTACTAAAGCCCGTTTGTGTTTACCTTGCAAGTACTATGTCTTATTCCAAATTTTCAACATGCAACGTGTTTCTGGCAGAGCATAGGTTTTAATGACGTTGCCTACAGTTGCCTCTTTTGCACATTTACGCAGCGCGCTCTATCAATTCTACTCTACACAAAATATGCAACACAATATAATACACACTGCAGTACTAGAACCAATAGCAAGGAACAGGCAATAGTGCACATACTCGGGCCACGTAAACATATACACTGTTTGCAAGTCAACCCAGTCTACAATACCTGTATGCATAACAACCATGACACAATATTAAATATGTACCACATTTACACTCTTTCGAAAAATTTGTGGGTGCTAGTTTTTGAGTCCATCGTACAATAATTAATATACACTGGAATGCTAGAAGCTACATATCACCTCTCAGGGCTGCTAATTTCATGTTTAGAGGTACGTAACTAAACAAGAGGTTATATTCTTTGGTAAGCGCAAGCCCTACGTATATTGTCGCAAAGCACAAGTGATCTCTCATCGTATGATGTGCAGCTATGACTCATTTTTAAGCATGTGAGACAGGTGGCTAATGCCCTCTCTGAAAGGTCCTCAGTTTTGAGTCCTGACTGCATTTTGTAGTCATTTTTTAAGCATGTGAGACAGGTGGCTAATGAAAGGTCCTCAGTTTTGAGTCCTGACTGCATTTTGTAGTCCATGACTTCCATGTTAGCTCAACTCACCACTTTTACAATGCTGCCCTCTACAGAATCATGACCTCCCACTCTACATCATTCACTAAAGACACTCGTGTTTAAGTGGCGACAATATAGGGCTTGTGTGGAGGACAATTTACACGAGCAAGCAATGTTAGTTTGAAGATGTAGCTATCATCCATTATTGACCGTTGCTAGGTGGTTGCTATGTTTATTGTGCTACTATAAATCAGCTAATGCACCAACGAGGTGTTAAGGTGACAATATGCACCGTGGTTAGTGCTTATATCCGATATAAGCACTGCGCTTTAAAGTGCATCATAGAACGAACTTCTTTTCCAGCGTCTTAACTTTAGCACCGCTAAAATATTCAAATCGCTCACTGTACTCTTGACTCATGGGCTCTACTTACTTCCCTAATGCCAGACTCAACCTCAGCTTCTTGCCCGTGCGGGATTGATCATCGTCCTCAGCCTCGCTTTCTGAAGTTCACCCTTCGACACTTACGTGAAAGAGGGCTTCGAGACCTCTTTGCCATGACTTGCAACAGAGCGCAAAGCAAGGAGAAACGCCAGTGGGAGCTCCGCACACAAGAAAGCGCGGCAGAAGACGCGAAACCACAAAAATGCACGTGTAGGCGACGGCAATTGACATCATAGCACCTAGCAACTATCAATAAACTAATTATCACACCCTTTGTCGTGCTGTTGCGGTTTACAAGGCCTCGCCCTCGGGCGCTTACGCGCCCTCGGGACGTCGGCCTTGTAAACCAGCAACAGCACTCCAAAAGGTGTAATAACTACTACTTCTACTACTGCATAAGGGGGGGAGGTGAAAAAATTCATGCTTTTAGTAACCTATAATGCCACATTCCCTATAGGAGTATATAGCACACCAGGCAATAATATATGGACTGTGTGATGGGGTCGGGGTGTCAGCGTGCTCAAATCTGTTCATTAACCATGCTTCATGTATCCCATCCCTATCTTATCTCCCTTTCTTTTTATACCATCCCTATATGCCTCTTTTTATTCAAAGGATTTTTTATTTACTTGTTGATGTATGGGGCTATGATAGGGAGTTTGTTCATCATCTTCTTCTCCTTCTTCTTCAGATTGAACTCGCTTAACTCAAAAACGAAAAAACATATAGTAATGAAATTTTGTTGCACCTGAAGAGACTGGTCATACTTATTTGTTTGTAAACAACAACAACCAGCCAAGCAATCCATTATAATGGGATCACATGTGTCAGTATAACTCACAAATGGTAAGAGCTTGGAATCCGTGACTAGGCGTGCTAGAACGTTTTAATTTGTTTGTAAACAAAAAAATATAGCCCCAGGCCATATATGATATACGTACACTAATAAAGTGTGCTAACTAGGTAACTATGTGCCTCTTTTAAATTCGCAGGATTTTTTATTTACTTCTATCACTAAGTACGTTAGTACTTAGTATATACAGTAGGGATGACACAGGTTGTCCTGCATTATGCCCATACATTTGAGCTTTTCATGTTTCACTTTCAGTTTCAATCAGATCCAACTTTTGATCCGTCAGACTGATCTGTATCATCAAAAGAGCATGTATCCAAGAAATGGCTTTAATCACATAATCGGTACTTAATTTTTCAAATAAGTCAGTTTTCAGATTACTTGTCGTTGTTGTTGTTCGGTTTAGACAAGCGTATCTCAAAAACCACTTCAGATATGGAGATGAAACTTTGCACAAAGATTGGAATCCGTGACTAGGCGTGCTAGAATGTTTTAATTTGTTTGTAAAAATTTTGTTTACATGTAAACGGCCCCAGGCCATATATGATATACACTAATAAAGTGTGCTAACTAGGTAGAGCAAACACCCAGAATGATAAAACTTTGTACACACATGCAACCCATCATTAGTATCAAAATGTAAACCATACAAGTTTGTAAACAGCAACAAACAGCCTCAGGCAATCAATACTTGTAAATGATGTTTGTGCCTCTAACTTGCTTATTGTTGGTCCAGAACTGGTCGATCGCTGGGAGTTCAGGCGGGAGACGGAATATGTTCCTGGTCGGCCTGAGGCTTATGGGTCATCGCTACAACATATTCATTGAGTGTAGAATATTTGTCGCTCAGTGTCGAGCTGGATGGTTTTAAAGCCGTCTGGCGGCTTTAAAACCGGCTGGAAGACTTTAAAACGGGCTTCTGGTTTTTAATCGGTCCCCAACATATACCCATATGCAACCCATCATTACATTACAAGTTTGTAAACAACAACAAACAGCCTCAGTAAATAAAACTTAACTTGCTTATTAACAATGAAAGTCGGAATACTGATTTATTATGACAAGAGTTAATCAAAACGAAATTACAAGTCTGTTAACAACAACAAACAACAGCCTCAGGCAATAAAAACTTGAGAATGGTGTTTGTGCCTATAACTAGCTTATGGTGGGTCCTCTAACAATGAAACTTGGAACACTGATTTATCATGACAAGAGTTCATTAAAATGAATTTACAAGTCTATAAACAACAACAAACAGCCTCAGGCAATAAAACTTTGTGAATGGTGTTTGTGCCTATAACTTGCATGTGTTTGGTCCTCCCACCAATGAAACTTGGTACTCTGATGTTCTATGATGAGTTCATCAAAACAGTAATTACAAGTTTACAAAAGGTGTTTGTGCCTATAACTTGCATAGGTGGGTCGTCTGACAATGAAACTTTGTACACTTATGTACTTGTTGAGAAAGAACATGTGAATGACGACAAACAGTCTGAGGCAATAAACTCATATAAGCCTTTTATGCTACTTTTTATCTGGGCATTTTGCCCAAAACTTTATATTGCACACCATGCATGTGAAAAGAAAGGAGACAAGTGAACAAGAATTTAAAAAGTGTGGAATATAGGGATGCCATAAAAAGCAAGGAGACAAGACAGGGATGACCTAGTGCATGTGATGCAGTAGTAGAATGGATGATAGCTACATCTTCAAACTAACATTGCTTGCTCGTGTAAATTGTACTCCACACAAGCCCTATATGTCGCCACTTAAACACGAGTGTCTTTAGTGAATGATGTAGAGTGGGAGGTCATGATTCTGTAGAGGGCAGCATTGTAAAAGTGGTGAGTTGAGCTAACATGGAAGTCATGGACTACAAAATGCAGTCAGGACTCAAAACTGAGGACCTTTCAGAGAGGGCATTAGCCACCTGTCTCACATGCTTAAAATTTGAGATACGCTTGTCTTAACCGAACAACAACAACGAGAAGTAATAATGAAAACTGTAAGTACCGATTATGTAATTAAAGCCATTTCTTGGATACATGCTCTTTTGATGATACAGATAAGTCTGATGTATCAAAAGTTGGATCTGATTGAAACTGAAAGTGAAACATGAAAAGCTCAAATGTATGAGCATAATGCAGGACAACCTGTGTCATCCCTATATACTAAGTACTAACGTACTTAGTGATAGAAGTAAATAAAAATCCTGCGAATTTAAATGAGGCATATAGGGATAGTATAAAAAGACATGTGGGAGACAAGTAAGCCCCTATGGATATATGTATGTTGATTGTAGCCCTTTTGAAGTCCTGTTTTCTTTCTCTTTTTCTTTCTTTCTTTTTATGTATATAGCGTAAGCTGTTCAGTTTTCATGTATGGCCTGCAGACATCCGTGCGCGTCTAGTGCACAAGGGGTTCGCACTTTAGTGCTTTTTGTTTTCATGTCTAGGTGTAGATGATTTGTTTGTTGTGCCTTTGCTTTTTTACCTCGTAGTTTTCACATGTATATACTCAGTTTGGAGTTGGGTGTCTTTGGTGGTTTAATTACCCCAGTCTGCTCATACATACTGAGTGAGAGTATACTGTGCCATAGCACAGTGGTTTGAGGATTGCCTTTGTCTTGTGTTGTGTTGTAGATTTGAACCCCTACCAGCTGAGTTGCCCTGGTAGCTCAGTTGGTAGAGCGTTAGCCTAGATAGTGGGTTTAAATCTCAACTAGGGCAGCTCAGCTGTCCTAGGTGTAGTTGATTTGTTTGTTGTGCCTTTGCCTTTTTACCTCATAGTTTTAATGTGATAATCCCAAATGTATGGGTATAATGCTGGTTAACCTGTTTCATCCCTATAAACTACCATACTTAGTGATAATATTCTCTCCTTCATATTGAGTGACAGGTGTACATGTGCCATAGCACAGATTTTTGTATTGTGATTTATTCACTTTAAATCCTTAGCTGCCCTGTGATACAGCTCTCTGTCTAAAGAGCAGTATCATGAGTTTCATTGCTACATAGAAGAGCTCGCACTGGGTGTTGTTGTATGTTTGATATGCACTTTGCTTTTGTTGACATTCCCTGATTCATGCTCCTAGTACTGTACCATCTATGCCCTTTGACAATGTGCTGACTACTAGTCAGCCTTAGATGACACAATTGGCTCTCTTCAGTTACTATGCGACCTCCAGCTTTGCATCTAAATTAGCTTAAGTGCCTTATCAGAGTCGGGATGTCTTGATGTCCTGAGAAGTCATGCTGAAAATTATCTATGCATGCACTGAGTAAGCATACAGCTGTGTCTTGTAATTCATTTCTTATTCACAGGATGGACCATCTGTTCGATAACATTAATTGCTGGAAATGACACTGTGTCAGTATGAAAAAGAAATACTTTAGAGGAACAGATGATTACTTTACTTTTACCAAACATCTGTAGCAGTGTGTTGTATACTCTTGTCTATGCTTTGAGATATGTCAAATTAATATGTCGGTGAGACATGGTCAATCCTCTACCATGTTTGGTGAATACATTTTGTTACTTTTAGCAATACATAGTGTGCCAGAATACAATGCCCCCCCCCCCCCTACAAGCTCTGCATACATACAAGGGAGTTCAGTGCCCAGCCTTGGGTGGTAGGTTACAATTCAGGTATATACCTCCCACACAGTGACCAACCCCGTATCACTAGCTCTAAGGCTGTAACTCTTACCTGTATCATAGTAAGTTCGAGAGTCTAGAGTCTGAGGCAAGTTATTTTTTTGGGGATGATTGCAAAGCCATGTGCTAATGTAAGCATATGATTTATAACGGCTGGGAATCGTAGTAATAGCTGGTGACAAGTAACACTCAACTTTTGCAACAAGGCAAGTGTCAGAAATTATTTCCACCTTCATTAGCCGAGTTCGTTTGGCACAAATAATAAACCGAAAGTGACATGCCACTCGCATTTCCTTGACAATTCTGAAAGGCAGTTGCGGTTGATGGCTATAGATGGTTTGGAAAGCCTCGTGAGAATCAGAGTAGTCGTAGAGGGGGAGGAGGGGTTGGGTTCTTGGTTCGGGAGTGATGCTGGGTCTAGATTAATGTTTAAGTTCAGGTCAGGCACGCATGGGCTAAATGAGGAACTGGGCAGGCATAGGGGGAGGGAGGGGGTGAAAGAGTGCCTGTTGTGTGATGATGAGTGTGAAAGTGTGAGTCATGTGTTGTGGGAGTGTCCAGCATATAGTAGTCTTAGGAGCAATTTCTTAGTTACCCTGCAGGGGAAGCTTGGGGATGATGGGTTTGAGCATTTCCAGTCGCTTGATAGTTTCAGGAAAGCATCCTTTATATTGGGTAGTGAACTGTGGGAGGATAAATTTGGTTCTTTGCTTGGCCTTGTTAAAGATTTTATTTTGGATGTTTGGGAGCTAAGAAAGGTTAGGTTATACGGCGATAGTCCCTGTGTACAACAAACCCAGTCTCAGATTGCGTCTGGGGAGCTACAGGGTGTCGCTGGTGGAAGGGGTGAGTTGAGGTGTCTGGGAGGTGAGACAGACACCTCATGTTCATATGGTGTATGTTCGTTTGTTAACGGTTCCACCCATTGCTCTGGGTGCATGGTCTATGGCCCTAGTGCTATGACAGCCACCTGAGTATTATTATTATTCTTTAAACTCTACATCCCGAAACGTTACTGTGTTTGACCTTGCATGGTCATGTAATAGCAGTTCCTTGGTTAAAGAGAAGTATTATATATTTGGCAGTGATAAATTTATAAATTATATCTTAAAATAGATGAAATGAGTGAGAGTTATACGACAGAACCATAACATGGCCAACTGACATGGATATGGATAACAATGGGTGTGGAATGTTACGTTACATTTTTCATCAACCTCCAAAGGACACTCACACACAAACACAAATGCACCAAGGTTTAACTTCGTAATTTCTCTGTTCAATGTTGAGGCGAAATATAAACACGTGGTCTAGAAGACCAGACCCTCATGCTAAGAGAGAGGGTCGGCTTGTGAGACTACACCCTGGAGACACTAAGAGGTGAGGTTCGGAAGTTGGGTGTTCAGAAGTTGATGAAAAACAGAGTCCCATAGCTATCTATCGCGCTCTCAATTTGGATAACAGAACTGTCGCCACCTGTGTAATTTAAAAGGGGACGGCTCACCAGCCCTAGCTATAACGGTCCCTTTGGTCCTAAGCACCTGAAACTTATCCGCCTCCCGTTCATGATCTATCCTTTGCCTGCAGTGAGCACCCAAGGCAATGCTTGAAATGGCTGGCGAATAGTCTGCCGTAACCATCCCCTCTCAAAAAAGAGGCACAACTACATAATATAAATAGCTATGTATGTAATTGAGTACGTAACTATTCACCTAGTGTCATGCCCAGACCTGCTGAGTCAGCACGTTAGGAAAAGGATGACGCACGTGATCCTGATTAGCCGACCTTGATCCTGTCGAACCTTCTCTGCAACCTACCCTGCCCACACGAGAAAAGATAGTCTCGCTAGCCAGACTTCCTCAGGGGAGGAGTCGGGTGAATTTTGCAATTTGTTTTCACACGCTGACTTTTTCGCGGCGTGTTGATTGGCCCAAAGTGGCTGCGAACAAGTGTAATATAAACAAATTTTTATCTTTTTTTGGGGTCAAGTTTGATCATACGCAATAGGTACGAAAGGTTAGTTTGCGCCGTGAGGAGGAGCTAGAGTTGCTACTTGTTTCCTTCAATTTGGACTCTCGCAAATAATCGCAACTCATCAAACTCTGACTAAAATCCGTAGCTCCCCGCCACACAGTTATGCGCTTTATTTAAAAACCGTGAGCAAACGCAAACAAATGTGAAATCGCATAAAAAATTTACATGAATGGGCAGAAAAAGCCTGTAGATGTCAGAAAAGCACGCAGATCCGTCACAAAAGCGTGCCATTCCGCAAACAAACAAGGAACAGTGCTAAAAACCTTCGCATACGCAATAAAAGTGTGCATGCGCAGGAGCCAATTGTGAAAACGTCCGAATCCGCAGAAAAATCGTTGACGCGTGGGAAACAGCCGTGGATGTTAGAAAAGTGTGCCAATAAGCGTGGATAAGTGAGAAAACGTGCGCGAACAACAAGAAAGTAAGCAAGAGCAGCGAAATTACAGATCCGTGATAAAAGCGCTTGATCCAATGGGTGTCAATAATCCTCTCTCTGATGCCTCCGATGAAGAAACCCCAGTCCTCTACGTCCAAGGATCAATGCTGCGTTTGCTGTCAGCCCATCGTTAAAGGCAAAGACAAGTCACTGTTCTGCGGAGGAGGTTGCCATCAATGGCTCCATCGTTACTGCGCGGGGTTAAGGGGAGACACATCAAGTAACAAGTTTTCAAAGTTGCTTTCACTGTTTAAATGCATTTCAAAAATTGGAGCGTCCAGCTGCGGTTGGGTGGAGTTGATGCTAGGAGTTGAGTGACGGAGTGTATGATTGCCTCACATCCACCCTTGACACTCACGCCCAATTGAAGAGGGGAAAGGGACAGTTGGCAGTGTGACGAGAAGCTGTGGCGAGGAACTTGGATATCAAACGTCGCAACACTTCGCTGACTGCGATGGGCTGGAGTCCCCCATTCTTCTGGTGGCACTGCAGAGGTGGGATACCTGAGGCAAGAGTGTTTACAAAATAGGTTAGCGATGTCAGTACCTGAGCTGCACGATCTGGGGAGGGGCAACAAACAGCTTCTCTCAGATGATTTGGGCGAAGACCGGGGCGGAGCCATTGGGAAAAGATTTGACGGCGTCAGGAACAGACGGCTCTGACAGAGAAAAAGGAGGAGGCGCTGGACCAGAGGGTAAAGCGGGAGAAGGGGCCTGTGGGTGCTTTTCCTGCATCTCCTTTAACACTTCTGGAGAGGGTGAGGCAGGCCCACAGAGGTCAGGGCTTTGATTGCCTTGCTGTATAGACAGCTCTCCTCGCCCGCCTTGCATTGTGATTACGTTGCGAAGAGGGGAAAGCCACGGACGAGTTCAGACGCCAAGACATAGTCTGCCTATGTCTACCGCTTCCATCCACAGAAAGAGCAGGTCACCGGCAGACCACCTTCGTAGCCGGGACCTCACTTGCTAGAGGATTTCACACCAAGGTAGCCGATGTCCAGCAGCGGGGCTAGCCAAGACACAATTAGACAGCATGAACAGCACCAATGTGTCAGGTCCGCTGGATTGTTGGTGACTGAGACCAGCAATCCCTCGCACCTTTGGGGAGATGTTGGTCTGGAGGATGGTCTAGCCACTATGGATGATGCAGGGTTAGTAGAGACAGCAGGAGGTTCAGGAACGGGATATTGGGGGCATTGGAGAGGGTTGGCTTCGGAGGCGTTGGCTTGGGAGGCATTGGCTTGTTTGTTCGTATTTGCACGTGTTTTCACGTGTTTGCACGTGTTTGCAGATGTTTTTCTCACTGATCCACGTGATCGGAACGCTTTTCTCAAATCTACAGGCCAATTCCCATGTTGATTTCACATCTGTAGTCCTCCTGGGTTCAGCTCACACGCATTGTCATGATTTACATTATTACAGTCTGTATAGTATATATTCTACACGCAGAAAAGAGTAACCTACAAAAATAGGAAACGGAAATGAGACGTATAGTGACGTCACTAATGACCAGCGATTTTACGCACGGTTTTCTCACAGATCCGTTTATTCCTGCGTCTTCCCATGCGTTTGCGCAGGTGATTCAGAACGCTTTTCTCACATCTACTGGCTGTTTCTGCCAATTCCCTCGGCGTGCATGCGCAGCGAGGAGTACTGTGTGTCCGTCTGTCTGTCCGTTACCCAACATCTCACTTCACGAGCCATGGATCGCTCCACAAACAATACCACCAGGTATTCAGCGCGGGGTACGATCGAAACGATTTTTCTGAAACTGCTGCGTTCGAGAGGTTTACGGCGTGAAACACGAGCGAAAAAGCCAATATGCCAGGCTTACCTCGATCGGTTTCGCTCTCTCTGTGTACCTTGAAGGCACAAGAAGTTACAACGAAGGTCGTGTATCGACCCCCGCATGGTATCTACGGATCAGGAGAACGGCACCGCGTTGTAAATGAATGGGCGTGGCCGCGCGATATCTATGGCCGGAGATGCTGGGGTGGTCTAGGGTCTAGGGCTAAGGGATCAACTGTAATAATTATACGGACCATAAGCGCAACGCATTCTAAGCGTGTTGACTAAACGAAGGTAAAGCTAGGCTAGGGGTAGCGGATAGGGACTAGGAAATAGGGCTAGGGGCTAGGGAAGACTGCAGGAATGCAGCGCTATGACACGGCTCGCCGGTCACAGATCGCTTCATAACGTAGATCCTTAGCCTTAGCCCTATCCCCTAGCCTTATTTTCTATCCCTAGCCCTAGTCCCTGCCTTTCCTTACACCCCAGCATCTCCATAGATATCGCGCGGGCACGCCCACAAGGTGGTGCCGTTCTTCCTACCTGTGCTGTAGCTATATACCCCCGAGCTATATACCA